CTCTCTCTCTCTCTCTCTCTCTCTCTCTCTCTCTCTCTCTCCCCCCCGTCGTTCCCACTGCGCACGATTCGGTCATGGTACTCCCACCTTCTCCTTCGCGCTACCTCCTGCCGACGCGGCCCTCCCCCTCACCCCGTTGCCACCCGAAACCGCTTTCCCGCCAATCGACACCCCCCCCCTCTTGCGATGCCACCCGTGGCAGTTACCGGCAGGCCTCCCCTCGACCCGCCCTTTTTCGTGAACCGTCGGGCCCTTTTTCCCTTGCCCGCGGCCTCCACGAACGGCCACCGCCAATTTCCGTGCGCCGTGGTCTCTGGTGCCACAGCGAAACGCCGCGCCGGGCCTCCACGAAACGCCCCGCCCACATTTTCGTTGGGCCCGGCGGGACACGTCATGCTGGGCCCTTTGCTTGCTTTAGGAGTATAGAGATTATTAGATGATCCGTTGCGGCTTCGCCCGCAAAAAACAAAAAAAGAAACAAGCACAAAAGAAAGAAAACGCATAAGGAACTGCCCTATCATACGCCGCTTTTTTCACAATAAGAAAAAGAAGAGCCTGAGAGCAGACGAAAACCCACGTGCAAGAAAATAGCAGGGAATACCACCGAACATTCTGTTTTCTTTACCTTTGCGTGTTTTGTTTGGGGAGCCGTTACCTTTGCAGCATCATTTTTGTTTTGTGTTGTGCAAGAACTCTGCAATCAGACTCGCATTCATTCACACTTCACATGTATGCAAACAGGTTGCGCAGCAAACTGGCGTCAAGCGCCCACTCAGAACTCAGAGATATAGTACCAAGAACAGTTCAGATACAAGTTCACTCCCTCTGGCTATGGCGGCACATCGCCTGTACAACTCTCTGTTCGTCGCTCACTCGACACTGTTGTTCGCACAAAAGATCACCCCGGATACCCCACACGCATAACCCTGCACACTCACACACACCCGCACACATCTACAGCTATGGCGGCTATGGCCGCTACTACCATATCGCTATGGCGAAGCTTCTTCTCGCCCACTACGTCCTCGGGCTCACTACAGACCACCTCGCACAAGTCGCTATGGTAGCACTTCTGCATGGCTTACGCAGGAAATGAATAAATGGCTGGTCGCTGCCTCTCAATTTATACTTTTGTAGCTCGTTGGTCTGGCCCTTTCCCATGCTCGTGGTGCACACAGTCCCGTACGGTACTTGCTGGACTGGACTAGGACTGACTGGGACTGGGACTGCTGACTCAGCACGGGTAGACTCCACCACTTGCCCACTTGCCTCTGTCTCAAACGTGAGCAGCTTCGAAAGGCCACTTCCGGACCTTCCGAAAGTTCGTGGACTTGGCCTTTCGAGTACTGTAGCAGCTACGACCTTGACTTCTTAGGATTGTAGCAGCTACGATCTTGACCTTCCAGGATCCCTACAGCTACGACCTCTACAGGGTTGTGACTCCTACTCGACAGACCTACAGATCGAACCCCTACCACTACACAGACCTACGACAGGCAACAACTGTCAAAACACAGGTCACGGGTTCAAACACTCGGGGTCGGCACAGATATTGTACACACGTAAGGTGAGAACTAGGGATCGAGCCCTGGGATCTGCATTCGCTACTGCTAAAAGGTGAAAACCGTTTCACTCCCGCCGGCCTAAATTCGAGGTCCTCCGAGAATAACTCAGTCCAAGGCAGGACCTTTACCTTTCTTATCTCTCTCGTAGGCTCTAACTATGTCGGGAGCTGTCTCTAAAAGTTCTATTCTAGTAAACCAGCGTTCGTCCTCGGGCTCCTGATAAGTGAATCGGACCTTATATTGTTTCTGTGGACGACCTCTACCTCCTGTCCTGAACACATCTCCACCTACAATGTTGTCGATGTCATATCTTTCGTCCACGTCTGGGGGGATCATGGATCTCCTAGATGGAAACTGTTGACTCGTTACACACGGCAACAACTTTGATGCATGGAATGCAGGGTAGGTGTGGAGGTGTGTTGGAATCTCAATAGTGTAGGACGGTCCATCCTCGTCGCCCTCGACTTCTAGGACTGGCCACGGTCCTCTATACACAGGCAGTAACTTCTGCGAAATGTTCTCCTTAGGACCAAACTCTTTCGACTTGACCCAGACTAAGTCACCTACTTGGAACTGTGACGGGCGACGATGTTTGTTGGCTTGTTCTATCATCCTATGTTGGGCCTTTCTGAGGTTCTCTACAACTGTAGCCAACTCTTTTTCGTGCTGAATCGCAAACTCCCTAGTAGCGGGTGGTAACCTATGAATCTGGTCTTGGTTAAGTCCCTCAAACGGTCTGCGTGGTCTAAAGGACTTGTGCAACTCGTTGGGGGTGCGAGAGGTGGACAAGTGCACGCTGTTGTTATACGCACTGGCTACCTTGGGTAACATCTCGTCCCAGTTGATCTGATCCGGTCTAATATACATACGCAGAACTTGTTGTAGGATCTTGTTCATCTGTTCAGTCTGACCGTTAGTCTCTGGATGGCGGCCAGACGACATCAACAACTGTGATCCGTATGCTTTCATCAACTTCTGCTAGTCCTGACTTGTAAACCGAGTATCTCTATCACTAACTATAGACAATGGGACTCCATGCTCACTAACCCAAAAATCAAAAAACTTTTGAATCACTAGCTCAGTATGAGCTTTTGAGGGTAAAGGAACTAAAACAACATATTTACTAAATTTGTCAACTATGACTATGACTTGGCTCTTACCGTGCCTACTCTTGACGTCGGCGTCCATAAAGTCAATGGACACTGAATCTCCGGGCTGGTCAGGGATAGGCAGGGGTCTGAGAAGATCTAGAGGGGCACGCGTAGTGGTCTTATTTCTCTTACAGACCTTACAACTGCGAACATACTCTATGCAGTCGACCTTCATCTCAGGCCATACATACGCGAGCATGAGGTTAGCTAGAGTCTTTTGCCAACCAAAATGTCCCTCAGTATCGTGACATTCCACTAGGATCAAACTACGGATATCTTCATTGTTAGGAATGCGCAATCGATCAACGATGTTAGCCTTCTCGAATGGTAGCCCATCAGTAGTGCGGTAGTCTGGTTCCGATTTTGGGGCCTCCTTTACTCTCTTGAGGAGGTCACTATAGATAGGGTCCTGCGCATATGCCTCTCTAACTCTCTATTGGAGGTCTCTCCCTATATCCAGATAATGAACTATCACTCCAAAGTAGTTAGCTCTCCTACTCAGAACGTCCGCAACTACATTATACTTCCCTTTGACGGGCTTGAGCTCAAAATCATACTGGTCTAGTTCGGCGGCCCACCTAGTCAGCTTAGGTGTCATCTTGGCCTGAGTCTTCAACCACCTTAATGTCTCGTGGTCTGAATAGACTTTGAAATGCCTCTTAAGCAAGTAGTGCTTTCAGTGCTCTAATGCTTGCCAGAAAGTGTAGAGTTCTCTCTCATAGAGATGTCGCAACCTTCTCTGAAGGCATTCTGGCAGACATGAACTCTACGGGCCTATACCCATTACCATCGTCTTGCTGTAACACAACACCTATACCGTACTGGCTCGCGTCAGTAGTGACGACGAAAGGTAAGGACGGATCGGTTACTTTTAGGACCGGGTACTCTATCAGCACCTGCTTTAACTTTTTCATGGCAGACGTGCAGTCCTTGTCCCACTTCCAGATCGCTTCTTTCTTTAGCATCCTGCGAAGGGGCGCAGCGATGCTGGAGAAGTTGCGCACAAACTTCCTATAATAATTTGCTAGGCCTAAGAACGACCGCAATTTTGTCAATGTGCGGGGTGTAGGCCAATCTCTAATTGCTGCGATCTTGCTGTCTTCTGGCTTAATGTCGTCTCCGTCTAAGACATGGCCTAGATACAAAACTTGGGGTTTTGCCCATTCGCACTTCTTTGTGTTGATCTTGAAGTTAGCCTCTCTGAGCTTCTCCAAGACCTGCCTCAGATGACCCTCATGCTCCTGGAGGGTCTTACTGAACACTAGAATATCATCTAAGTAGACTTACTACGAATCTATCTAACCACGGCTTAAACAAGTCATTCATACAGCGCTGAAAAGTCGTTGGCGCGTTGGTTAGTCCAAAGGGCATGACTATGAACTCATGGTGCCCATATCTAGTCCGGAACGCGGTCTTATACTGATCATCAGGATGGACCTCTATCTGATGATATCCGGACTTCAGATCTATCTTCGAAAAACACTTGCACCCCTGCACCCGATCTAAAAGATCATGTATACGGGGCAGTGGCTCTCCATTCTTCACTGTAATCGCATTGAGACCCCTGTTACACATTCTGAGCTCTCCCTCCTTGGGGACAAACAGAACAGGTGCTCCAAATGGAGACAAACTGGGCCTAATCCAACCATTCTCTAGGAGCTCGTCTAATTGCTTGCGCAACTCCTCCAACTCCCGCGGGGACATCCTATACATTGCTCCCTTAGGAGTCCTACTGCCAGGCTCTATCTCAATGTAATGCTGGATTGGTCGCGGTACTACTCCTGTTGGCGGCTTAGCTAAGTCTGTTAACTCTTCTAGCAGCTTGGCAATAGCAGGGTCTATAGGCTTCTCCTCTTTAGGCTCAGTCACTGGCCTAACATAGGCTACAAAGACCTGTTCCTCTAGCTGCTCCTTCTTCACTAATCTTGCGAACGCAGGAGCGCTAAGGCAGCAATGCGCCAGGGAGTTATCTACTCCTGACACATGAAATAGACGGGCAGTCTTGACTCCGCCTGACGGACTAGGGAGCCTACATTCGTGCTCGCTCAAATGGACTGTGGCCCCAGCTGCCTCTCCCCAGTCCATTCCTAGGACTATATCGAAAGGAAGGCTATCCTCTACAAGGAGATTAAGGGAATGGCGAACTTTCTCCACTTCCGCATCTTTCTCTAGGCGAAAGTACGCCTGGACTCCCTCTACATAATCCTCTACTCGGATTGTGCGATTGTCTGCGAGGATACTCACTATGGGGTCTGCTAACTTTTGGACTTTCAACCCCAACTTCAACTTCTGCAGCACCTTTCTACATATATAGCTGCGCGTGGCCCCACTATCTACTAGGGCCACTACTCTACCTCTAAAAATCTCTACGTCTACTAGAACTAGTTGTCCTGTACTCTCCTTCTTCATCTTGGCCCAGGCGGGCATTCTCTCCTTCAGCTCATTGGCCACGCCTGTGAGGGAATTGCCTAGAGAGACCCTTACACAAGCAGTCTCTGGACAGCTATCTAGGCGCCAGCCTGCAACCTCTGCCATATGCACATGTGATGTGGGAGATTCCTGCTGGCTCGCGCTCGTTTCCCCACATGGCCTTGTGGTAGGGGGAGTTGCTACCCCTACCGGCGGCTGCCTTTTGACCCCTGGGCAATCCATTGGGCCTCTCTGTACTTTGGACAGTATTTGATGATGTGGCCAGGGTCACCACAATAAATGCACTGCCCCTAGTCCACATGCTATTGCCAGATGCGCTGGTCCAGGCCCAAGTCCTCTCAAGGCCTACCCTGTGGCAGACCTGGGTGCCGTCCTCCTCTCCTATAGGGTGATCTATTACCCCTATTGGGCGACCTATTCCCTGAACGGTTTTGCGGGGGACCTTGACCCCTTCCTCCTGCTTGGCGGTTTCCTCCTCTACCACCAACCCCCTGATCGCCCTGGGAACGGCCCCCTGAGGCCCGGCCCCCTTGGCCCTGGCCTCTACCTCCTCCTTGTGGCCTCCCTCCAGCAGCGTAAGTCCTCTCGTGGCTAACGCCACTGTCCTCCTCCTCTAGTCCCCACTCAATCTACTCGTAGGGAACCTCGTCGACACCACCCTCATCTAATGTAAGGATCAAACGATCCTTGGTCTTGACTTGACCCGATATGGTGCGACCCTTCTACTTTTTACCCTTGTCCAGGTCCTTATGCCAAAAAGTGGAAATTGACATGGACCTTGCCTCGAATGCTACCACTTCCCTGCTCAAAGCATCGTAGGTCATGGTAGGCTGCTGACTCTTTTCAAAGACATGCCCACGTAACTGCTCGGGCATAGCGCGGTAGAAGAGGTTGACCAATTGGGTCTCAGTGACCCCATGGTCAGGAACGGCGACCAACTCATCCATCACACCCTTGAGTGCTCTGGCACTCTTCCACTGACGGGAGTGGATGGTTTGCAGTCTATCGGAGGCTTTGACACTACGTGTCACGTCTGCAAACCGCTTGCGCAATAACTTGAGGAAATCAATGAGGGGAGTGAACGCAGAATAAGCAACTAAATCATCATTGCAGTTAGCAGCGCGGCACAAGGAATGGGCGAAGCTTGCTGATTCGTTGCGAAGGGCATGAATGGCTATCAAGACATGCTCGTCTGGGGAGACCTTTTGCAGATGGACGTAGGTTTTGACATTGGCCTCCCAATTGTCAAATTTTTCCTCTCGCTTCCCGCTATAGGAGTTAGGGAACTTGACCTTAACTGACTCTCTACGGGGACGTACTTCCTCCTCCTTGGGGGCAGTCAATCTAGCGCCCTCTATGGCGCCAGAACAATAACGTTTCGTGCCCTCTAGGCGGGCCCTCACCTCTGAGCCCACCTGCGTTGCTAACTCCCTTGCAAAGTCCCTAAGTCCCAGCCGTATAGAGCGCACGGCGATATCCTGACCTCTACCAATGCTCTTCCTGGACCTGGGTCAGACGCTCTATGTTCCTTGCCATTATCTCTATCTTTTCCAGTAAATCCACCTGCGTCGCCATCTGGTCTCTCTGCTTCTTCACTTCTTCCAATGCTTTCGCCGCCTCACTTGCCGCCTCCATTCTCCTTTTTCTCTCCCTCATCAATCGAAATTTCCACTCCATCCTCTTCTCATCCTGCATAGCCTGCCACTTGAGTGGGTCTTCTTCGGCATCCCAAGCTCTCAAGGCCGCCTTTTGTTCTTCCCTGGGCACATACATCAAGGCCTCCTCTTCTTCCCCCAGGGACAGACCAGCAACCCATTCCATAATCTTCTTCTCTAGCTGGTCTTCCTTTGTGCCACTGGATTCACCTCTTCCTTCTGCCCTTCGCCTTTCCAGTGGTTGTTCTCTCTCCTCTTCCTCCTCTTCCTCCTCTTCCTCCTCTTCCTCCTCTTCTACTGCCTTAAGCTTGTCTTCTTCTTCTCTTTTTAGCCTCTCTTTTTCTCTGGCCATCTCCTCCTCAATCTTGTTCAACTTCGCCGCCTGTTCCTCCATCAGGGCCTTCTTCTTCGCCTCCTTCTCTCTTTATTTTTCAGAAGGGCGGCGGCTTTTGCCTCCTGTTCTGGTGTGTAAGGTTTGGTAGACGTACCACCCCTCGTGTCTACTCTGCACGTGAAGGTGTTCCAGAATCCCAGAGGGAAGAGGAGACGCCAAAGGGTCCCCCACAGGGCGAACCCCACAAGCAAGTCGTACATAGGGTAATCGTCCATGGTGTTAGGTGCACGACAAAGACTATCCCACTCCTCACCACTTAGACCTACCCTCTAACTGACACGACCTACCGACTCAATCTAAGGACCACAAAATCTGGACTCGATCCTGTCAACTATGGTCTCTAGCCTAGACTCTACTTACTACAGGCGTCACTACAGAACATGTTGCTGGCCAGGAGGCATTTAAGGAGATCCCCTGTAACTCCTTAGGAATTCTTTAACGTCACAGACAGGACCACGCGGTCAGCAGGTTCTCTCAAGACTTAGACGGCCCGTTGTGCAGCCCACAACTCGGATTTTGGGCCTACCGTGCCACACCGAGCAGCCCGTCGATCAGTACCGGTCCTTGGGAGGGTTCGTGTCCTCCGAGACTGTCGAGTCGTCAGACAGTATTTAGCCCTACTCAGCCCGTGTGGGTTCGGTCAACGAGGCCTTATCCTTCATACACGGAGTCCTATCACCTGGACAGAAGAGACTCAATGCAGAAAGAAGGGACAGGCAGACTCAGACTCAGCAAGTACCATAGGGTGAGTGCACATCCATAGGAGGAGGCGATAGGCTAAGGGCTTGGCGAGATTATACCAACTCCAGCTTGGTCAAACTCGTGGTCAACAACTCCGGTCAACGCCTTGGTCAACGCTTGGTCAACGCGGTCAAACCCCGGTCAACGCTCCGGTCAACCCTCCGATCAACGCCTAGTCAACCCTTGGTCAACGCCCCGGTCAACCCTCAACTCCGCTATGGCGGCTGGCACCTTTTTCCTCGCTGACCTCCACTTCTCTTTCCCCCTCCTTCACCTTTCTTCTTTCTCATTTTCTTCTTTTTTTTTTTCTTTTTTTTTTTTTTGTTCACCCTCAGCTATGTCTGTCTTCTACTTCGTTATCCTTCCTTCCTCCACCCTCTGCGATCTCTCCTCCCTTCTCAGCTTCTCTTTCCTCCGTCAACCCCGTGTCCGAGCTCTGCGGCTATGGCCGCTACTTCATCTTGGACCGCACAACCAATCTCGTATCACTCAACTCTCTCTCTCCGTGGTGATGCCTTCAGCGCAGGTGCGTAGCAAACCAATCTTGTATCGCTTAATTTTCTCTCTCTCTCTCTCTCTCTCTCTCTCTCTCTCTCTCTCTCTCTCTCTCTCTCTCTCTCTCTCTCTCTCTCTCTCTCTCTCTCTCTCT